ATCAGTATGTTCCTCAGGTTCGATTGGCTTTGAACAGTGCTTTCCATCGCTCGGTAGGTGACCAGCCACTTTATCTTCTCATGGGTCATCATGGTCATTTCCCTGTAGGTCTCTCTAATGACGTGACGTTTGCAACAGATGCTGCAAAGGAGTTTCATGATGCTTTGCAGGAAGCGCGGTACATTGCAGTAGAGACGTCGCGTCGGGCTCGGGAAACGTGGGCTAGGAATTATAATAAGCGAGGTAGAAAAGTTCCTGAAATGAGTGTGGGTTCACTGATCCTTTTCAGAAACTTCCGCAGGCTTACTGGTCCTCGTAGAACTTTGGGTTCACGCTGGGATGGGCCAGCTCGTATAATGAAACGTGTTGGGCCTGTAACCTATATCACTCAGGATGTAGAACCACCTTACAAAGAACGCAGATTACATGCTAACCAAATAAAACCTTTCAGGACACCTGATGAGCTAGCGTTCGTGAATTCACCCAACCCACAGTCTGACCCATCTGTTAACTCACAGCAGTTAAATCGTGAGGAGGATGCTGATATAGATCCTCGGGAAGTACTGCTTCTATCCTCTGTACGCCCTTGCTGAGATGCAGTACATAGAGGTTTCCTTTATTTTTTTATTTGTATATATGTATATTAACTGTATGTTTTATTATGTTTTATGTTTGAAATTTCGTATTTACTTTTATGTTCGTAATGTCCTTTTTGTTTTTACTACGTTATTTTACATAACTTTTACCTTTTAAGTTGTGTACCTTTAATTTAATGTCTTTTAGTTTGTAAGGCCTTAGTTTTAAGTTTGTTTTTAATTTGTAAGCATTCTTTTAGTTGGTTCTGATCGGTTTTGATTTGTTTTAATTGATCATTTTACCGATTTTATGTTCCTTTTAGTTTATTTATTATTTTAAGAGTTCTGGTAGTTTTACTTCGAGGGCCGGCTCAGTATACACAGCCTTTATAATTACTGCCTTTTAATATCCACAGGTCCTGCCGCTGCGAGGGAGCCGATGACAGCGGCCCCAGCCATGTATTTTGGATGTTCTGTGAGTGTCTTCCACAGATTGTCTGGTCACAGGTCTCCCATTCCCACCGGTTAGGAGATGAGACAAGGACACTATAGCTAGCATGAACGAGTGCTCGAGGTGGACGGAACGGACGGGATAGACGGAGTAGACGAGAGGAACCTCGGCTGTTGCTGCTAGATGTCCTGGAGATGGGAGTGTGAATGGTCGGCTCGTCGCTGTTATTCCCGATGATGGCTTCGTATTTTCTGCGCCAGATCGTCACGGACATGGGCGGGCCCGGAGCGGAACCTAGGGATACCATCCAAGACTCGAGGCGAGTGGAGGCGACGCCCCGACATTCACTCCCGGGCCATGGGAGGGGTTGTCGTGATCGGATTTGCAGGTGGACTGACACGCACGAGCAATCGTATATAAGATAATTAAAGAACGACGCAACAAAACCCGATCACTGTAAAAGGCGCGAGAACCAGGGCGCAGACGAGAGCAACTGCGTAGTGCGACAATATTCAACTGTGACAATGGTAATTAACTGAGCCACAATTACTTGACCAGAAAAGAAACTAGTGAACTATCTAGTGGCTAATTGCCGCGAAGGTGAGGATGCACACCAGGGGGTAGCCCGCCAGAGAGACACACTCGAGACAGAGAGAGGGCAGGCTGGGGTTCGCCAAGGCAACACGCTGTCGCCTTTTGTGTTTTTTTGTGTACTTTACTGAACTTTTGTAACGGACTCCTTTCGACAGCGGATTGCAACAGTGACCTGTGATCTGATATGAAAAGGTAACGCTAATTATATTGGTTTGTGTATATGTATGCTGTCACTCTCCCAGTAAAACACCAGAACTCGCCCTTTTATTTTATTATTTTCCGATTTTACCTTGTTTCTAATTTTATTTGATAAGTTACGAACTGTGAAGGAGAGGAACATTATTTTAAGAATAAGTCATGGCCTAAACAGTATGTTCCCTCATGGTTAACATGTTAAAGTGATTTTTAAGAAGGGATGGAGACTTTTTATGCAAATGTACAAAGGAATTCATACCCGTACCTGTATGTTTACACGTAACTACGTTCGTGAGCGCTCACGCACACACGAACAAGCCCTTACGTAGTTACCCTCGTTCACACATACACGTACACTTACACGCGCACATACACTTACACATACACACACAACACACACGTACACGCGAAACACACATGTACACGCACACATACACATACACACGCACACACGTACGTATACCCGCGCACCCGCACACCCACATGCACACGTACACGTATACGCGCGAACACACACTTACACACGCACCTATACACACACACCCGCTCACACTCGCACGCACGCGTACTCATGCGCACGCGTACACATACACACACACACACACACACACACACACACACACACACACACACATTGTTTTTTTTCTGTTGATGGTTGCCTCAATCATTAGGCTCTCTTTCTGGCCAATTGCCTTGACGATTCGGACCACAGTGCTACCACAAAATAAAGTAAGAACTAGGCAAGAAACATTTGAAACGTGGCGTATGGGCCCGTAGTGTAATTCAACCAGAGGTTAGGATGAAACTGAGCTAACCGCGACAATACCATATAGAGCAAGCTTTAACCGGTGTCTCTCCCTTCTGAATACTTGACTATCTTCCTCGTTGTATTATACGATTAGGATTCTAGGTATACAGTATAAAGGGAAACGTCAAGTAAATGAAGAAAGGGGGCGACTGAGATATATATTTGTTGATGTTTTAAGCTTGGTATATGAAAATTGAGGTTACGTAAGAGAGGAGTTTTGTTTGTCGCAATTTTCGTCATGTCGCTAATCTTACATTTCATAGGAAATGATTCGTATTGTGAGGAAAAAAAATATGTATTATTCTGAGTAAAAAGCATGCATGTTATCCCTTTCCTTGTGTGTATATTCCCAGGCAGACGAGATGAGCATTGTTCTTCTTTTCATCCTATTGTGATATCATGTTCAGTTCACCGTAGCTCGTCGTGGCCTATTGAACATGTTTGCGTTCTTCCTTTGAGGTTTAGTGAGGCTGCAAGAGAACCGTAGAAGCTTACCTTCGATTTCTCCGCGGTTTGTGGTTAGGTGTGCGCACCGTCCATCATCTCCCTCTTGTGTTCTTGGTGTTTCGAATACGCGTGCTTAGATTCTATGCTCGTTTATTTTGTGTGTAGCATGGCTGTTGTCTTTTCTTTGGGGAAATATTTACTTTTTATGATGTTTGTTTTTTATAGGAAGTACGTATGGATCTTAGAAAGATATCCAGAGAGAGAGAGAGAGAGAGAGAGAGAGAGAGAGAGAGAGAGAGAGGTGAGAGAGAGAGAGGTGAGAGAGAGAGAGGTGAGAGAGAGAGAGGTGAGAGAGAGAGAGGTGAGAGAGAGAGAGGTGAGAGAGAGAGAGGTGAGAGAGAGAGAGAGAGAGGTGAGAGAGAGAGAGGTGAGAGAGAGAGAGGTGAGAGAGAGAGAGGTGAGAGAGAGAGAGGTGAGAGAGAGAGAGGTGAGAGAGAGAGAGGTGAGAGAGAGAGAGGTGAGAGAGAGAGAGGTGAGAGAGAGAGAGGTGAGAGAGAGAGGTGAGAGAGAGAGAGGTGAGAGAGAGAGAGGTGAGAGAGAGAGAGGTGAGAGAGAGAGAGGTGAGAGAGAGAGAGGTGAGAGAGAGAGAGGTGAGAGAGAGAGAGGTGAGAGAGAGAGAGGTGAGAGAGAGAGAGGTGAGAGAGAGAGAGGTGAGAGAGAGAGAGGTGAGAGAGAGAGAGGTGAGAGAGAGAGAGAGAGAGAGAGAGAGAGAGAGAGAGAGAGAGAGAGAGAGAGAGAGAGAGAGAGAGAGAGAGAGAGAGAGAGAGAGAGAGAGAGAGAGAGAGAGAGAGAGAGAGAGGGAGGGAGAGGGGGAGAGAGAGAGGGGGAGAGGTAGGTGAGAGAGAGGTAGGTGAGAGAGAGGTAGGTGAGAGAGAGGTAGGTGAGAGAGAGGTAGGTGAGAGAGAGGTAGGTGAGAGAGGTAGGTGAGAGAGAGGTAGGTGAGAGAGAGGTAGGTGAGAGAGAGGTAGGTGAGAGAGAGAGAGAGGTGTGAGAGAGAGAGAGGTGTGAAAGAGAGAGAGGTGTGAAAGAGAGAGAGGTGTGAAAGAGAGAGAGGTGTGAAAGAGAGAGAGGTGTGAGAGAGAGGTGTGAGAGAGAGGTGTGAGAGAGAGGTGTGAGAGAGAGGTGTGAGAGAGAGGTGTGAGAGAGAGAGAGAGAGAGAGAGAGAGAGGGGGGGGGGGGGGAGAGAGAGAGAGAGAGAGAGAGGATGGAGAGAGAGAGAGAGAGAATGTTGTAATCTGTTTGAGGATTCATTGACAAAGGTGAGAGATGACTTCATTCATAATATCCATTACATGAAGTGACAGTGGTGGGTGTCCTGTTTTTAAACCAACCGCCCCGATTTTATGTTCTGTCCCCTGTAGTTTTTTTTGTGAATGTTGTTACATACAGATGGCTCCACATGTGTTCAGCAGCAATAAGTATCAGTAGCTCTAGTGACCGATCCCGGATTTCCCTAATTCCTTGAATTGGCAGAAAAATGTTTTTCTTTTTAATACAGTTGACATTGATACTGTTATTATTGTTAATGATGTTATGATTATTAAAGCGTTATTAAAATCTCGATAACATTTAAGACAATGAAATAATGCGAAATGCACTATCCAAAAGGAAAATGGTAAACAAATGAGATAGGTGGGACTAATAACTGACGCTTTGGTAACTAGGCACTTGTTGAGCCATCTATGTGTAAATAAAATAAACTTGTATTACGTTAGGCTTGGCACGTATTCTTGTCATACATGCCGACTGGGTTAACTTGGCTAACTTTCCATACAGATTCATCAAAGTAATGTCAAACTCTTTCATATTATTACTTGTGTCATAATTTACCGAGATCTTTTCATTAAGTGGGGATAAAATGAAACATACATAATCCAAAAGGTGTTTATTCACTAAGCCTCGGAAAAATAACATATCCCTAAGTCAAGCATTAATATCAACAATGCTTACATGGAAGACTTTCGATGATTTAAAAAGTTTGTATCATTCTGAATATTTTTTTCTTCTAAAAGTTCTACTCGACCAAAATATATGTTGAAAACAAGAAACTGGAATGTTTGAGACAGAGCTAGAAGTGGATCTATAATGTAAAGTTTTTTCAATTCTTGTACCAACAAATAAGGCAAATAAAACAGGATTGTCCACCTATTTTGACAGAAGCAAGTACCCCACATAAAAAAAAGCATTACTGTATTGTACTTCAAAAAAATAAAAAAAACAAAAAAATAATAATTACAACCATCAATGAATCAACCTAAATGTTGTGGCAAATTTGAGAGATGTATATTTTTTTTAATACAAAACACCTGTTACTTAAACAGAGCAAACTGCATGACAAAAATGAAAGCATTTAATAAAAAGAAATGAAAATAACAAAGCAAAAATTTTTGTAACAGAACCCCCAATATATCAAATTAGAGCACCTAAGTATAACTACTGAAAATAAGGTACAAGAAAATAAATAAATAAATAAAAATCATAAATAACTTTTCTGTCTCGTTTCATATAAATGCTGAGGTACTTTGCTCCATGAGTATCTTACTTCAGTTAAAAAAACGTGAATAAATCCAACAAAGTTTTAACAACTTTGCTTTGTAGTATCAGTAGCAGCACATGTTGAACCTTATTAGGCCAAGCTTGAGCAGGTTTTCACCTAAACAAACTTGACATCATTAATTTTCTAACATAAAATTGCGTCCTTTTGTCTCTTGTACACAGTGTGGGAGTCAAATACATAATGTAAATCGGCCATTGCAAATAGAAACCTTATGAGTATAATATTACATCAATTATATGAGATAGTGGGGTATAACAAATCATCCTTAAAGTATAAGTATTATAAGTATTTGCAACCAATCATTCATGTAATTTTGCAGACATAAAATATATGTGTATATATGCATTATGAATAGGAGCACCATAAACATGGGAAGAAATTATCTGAAGAGGGACTGTGAGCACTTCCTATATTGCCCAAAAGTCAGTTAAAGCAAATACTACGAGAAGCAGAAAAAAAATAACAAAAAAAGGGATGATAATGATGATGAGAATGACGATGATAGGGGATGACACTAATGTTGCATGACAAGAAAGGCACAGACCCACATAAAAAGGTACATTATCAAGAAATTTTTGAACATTGATGGATTGGGGGAGTGGGAAAGGGGGGAGGGGGGCAACCAACATATCCCATACATCACACGAGGTTAGATGGCATGCCTCATCACTAACTGTCCTTGTCCATTCAATGGACAACATGCTAGCTCAATCTGAGCAAGTTTCCTTGGTTAAAAAAGTGACGTGCAATTATACTGCAACATTTGAAACATGAGACGAGCCTCACAGCAAGAAACTCCCATGGCTCATGACAAGTAAGTCACAAAAACAATGGCAAAGCCTGAAAGAATATTCCACTTCCCAGTAAAACAGCCAGAGCATGCTACACTGCCTTCGGGTCATCCACGCTCTGTTACCTTTTGCCTTCTAAGCAAACAAGCAATTCATGTTGGACCTCTTTACTTTGAATTTCCATTTAAAAGGAAAAAGTGAATGAATTTCCATGAAGCAACAAAAATCAATTCATAGGTCACAATAATTATTATCAAAATAATCATCATAATGATAATAAAATAATAATAATAATAATAACAACGATAATAATAATAAACAAATAAAATAAACAGAGAAATAGCACATTTAAAGAATAGTAACTGCGAAGACATCCTTCTCAAGTGACACATGCTACAGCAGTTGGTTTATCAATGAATGTCTGTTATGAAGCTTGTCTGATACATGTCGTAATTTTTCTAGTGAGAATGACGGACCCTTCCTGTGCCAGATCTAAAGTTAGGAGCCTTAACACGCTAACAGTTGTCCAAGAGATGTGTCTGTGCTACTTGATTAGTGCTTCTTATTTCTTTGCTGCCATAATTTGTGTAGATATATAAATACTGAAAGGATGATGCGGTGTAAAGGGGGGAGTTATTGTTAATTATGCAACTGGTTTTATAGCTACAAGCAGGTTAGAAAAATTACAAAAATGAATAAATACAAACCAGGCACAATACTGTGGGAAAAATTCCTATTTGGCATGCTTGAAATGTATTGCTTATATTGGGCATAGGTTTGCCCTTCCTCAACTAAATCAACTGCACCTCATTCTCTTCTATTCTATGTATATACTCTCAAATGAACTTACAAGATCGAACTTGAACTCTAGTAAAACAAACCAAATGATAATGATAATAATAATCATATCAATATTATTATTAATAATAATAAAGATAATAATAATAATAATAATAATAATAAATAAAATATGTAATGGATGAATAAAAAATATAAAAATAAAAAACATGAAATATGAAAATCTACCACTGGCTTATAACTACATTTCTGTTTAATGACCATCTGGTACATCCTCATTTACAATCTTCTATTTCATAAAGTTACTGGTGGTATTACATAGAATTATACAAGATGAATTTATCAAATGTATACTTTATGCATGTCATCTACATAACAAATTTGTAAATGAACTAAAGGTCTCCGAAATGCTCGTCCATTCTCCATACACATATACATCTCCATTCTGATTGATAAAAGACTACATCCCATTTGATTATCAAATCTATAAATTGATCCATTTACTTTTCTACATGATAATTCTTGGAGATAAGTCAGACTGTATACATAAAAAAAAAAAGAAAATAATAATAATGAAAATAAAAATAATAAACTTTCTCTCCTACCAGGCAAGTTCTCTAGTTATGACAACTTCTGTCTTTGAGAGTAATACAATAATACAATATACCATACAATCATTCTACCTCATCATTCACACAAAGTGTAACATTTGGCTGCAGCACTGGTTTTGTACTTGTGGTAACAAATTAAGACATAAAAATATTCAAACACAGCAAGTTTTAATCGGTATCCTGGATTTCACATTTATAAGCAGGACAGACCCGTAGGGTGTGCACCTCATACGCTAGTCCTTTGTTGCGGAGTCACTTCTTCATTTGTCTCAGTAAAAAAGCTGGTACTGAAGCCTTCACTGAGCCTGGGAAGAGACCGTAACAATGAGCATGTGTAGCACCGACAGTCCATTCTCAGACACACTAAACAATTATCTACTGATTGGTGTGTTGAGCTGCTGATGATTTGTCATGAAATCAGGGACACTGGAGAGCATGGGCAGAAAAGCTTCTGGCTAACCGTTCAAAGAGAACCGGCCAAGTGACAACAGATGCATTTCAAGAATGAAACACCTGCTTCCAGAAGTTTATTTCTTTTGTTTGCCTGTTTATTGGTTAATTACAATTTGCATTCAATGTCTGGTAATGAGAGCAATAATAATTTCTTCATTACCCTCCTGTCACAAAAATGCCATCATACATGCTTGAGAGGGCGTCTGCGGGGAGTGGGAGTGGCCATTGGCTGAGCAAAGCCCCCGCTAGGTGGTGTTCCTGAGAGAGAGAGATCCTGCAAGAGAAGAAGAAGCAGGGTTAGTTCATGCAGGCTAGCTGGCAATGCATTTTAACAGAAGCAAGAAATGCATAGCAATTGCAGACAGAAGTTGAAAAATCACCTTTTGATTAAAAGAGGAAAACAATTGTAAACTTTAACCCATTCAGTTTAGTGCAGATGATCTTATATGCAACATTCTTTTCATGAAGAACTGTTAGGTGTGCGAGTTAATCTTACTGTTATGTAGGCGAGAAAATAGGAAAAGGTGGGTGAAAAAATTAGTGTACATAAGTGTTTATGAGAAGTTCAAAAGAGAATAAATAGTGCACTTGTGGTGGTGGTGATAAAAAAAGGAAAAGAAAGAAAGAACAAAAGAAAATCTTTCATACAGACATTTAAAGACCATTAATTACTAGCTGGTATTTTGGCATCATTGTTCACAATAAAAGCAGACAGCAACTTTTTGGGTAGTCTATCCATTTTTTTTTATAACACTGACATGAATTCAAGGTCTCAAATTTCAAACAAAGACAACTGACTGGATTGGTTTTAAGGAACAGAAATTGCTTGTGTGCTCCATTTTTTTCACACATGTACACTTGCAATACAGGAGTCAAAAGAATTATTGCAGGTATGAGTTTAATGTGAGAAATATACAGGCATTCAAGTGTCTATGTAAAAAATATGTATGTACATGGGTGGATCATTATAAAGAAAGAGATGAGATTAAGAAGAAAGAAAGAAAGAAAGAGAGAGAGAGAGAGAGAGAGGGGAGAGAGAGGGAGGGAGGGAGAGAGAGAGAGAGAGAGAGAGAGAGAGAGAGAGAGAGAGAGAGAGAGAGAGAGAGAGAGAGAGAGAGAGAGAGAGAGAGAGAGAGAGAGAGAGAGAGAGAGAGAGAGAGAGAGAAGGGGGGGGGGGGGGAGAGAGAGAGAGAGAGAAGGGGGGGGGAGAGAGAGAGAGAGAGAGAAGGGGGGGGGGGAGAGAGAGAGAGAGAGAGAGAAGGGGGGGAGAGAGAGAGAGAGAGAGAGAGAGAGAGAGAGAGAGAGAGAGAGAGAGAGAGAGAGAGAGAGAGAGAAACAAGAGTGAGAAAAAAGAGGAAGAGAGGATGTGCACATCTGTTTATATACATGCATTATCCATCAACAAACACTTGTATATGTTTGTACTGTTGTGTCTGTGTTAGTAACAGCTTAACGTGGATACAATTATGTGTCATTGCATATATACACACAAACGCAGAGATGCTTGGGGATATTCATGTGCAAGTGCCGCTCATGCAAGCCTATGTGAATATGCAGGTGTTAATAGATAGCATCTTGAATGGGCATGCTTTCCTTCAGTCACAAGCCTAATGCAGGCTCTCTCTCCAACACTGTCTCCTTGGGAGGATGAAGAACTCTCAAGACAAACTTCTTATAAAGGCAAGGTATTAAATATTTGTAACACAAGATATTTGAGACCCCCTCATCAAGTGGTACCTTACTGAGCAATTTTAAGATTCCAGACAGTCTCAACTCACTGAGAGGTTTAGCTTTCCATACATATATGTACTTACACTTGTGTTTGAGTGTTCTTATCTGTTATCATCAGTGTCATTCACCATCCATGTATGTATATATGCATGTAAATGTAAAGAGTGTGTGTGGGTTTGGGTGTTTATGTTCTTGTGTATGTAAATGCATGTGCACACATATATATGGCAGCTCTTACAATATAATTTTGCCCCTATCAAGAAGTCCTTGGTCCTAACTGTCAAGAGGAAGAGGAATAAGAGTTTATAAAAAGGAATATGACGAAGAAAATAACACATAAAATTATAAACACTACAACAGTGAGGACAATGGCTTGGTTGAAACCCTACACATCACACACTTCAGGTTGCCAGGTAAAGTGAACAGGCAAAGTGTAAAGGTTCTGATAACAGATGACACCTGTTGTTTCAATGCAAAACCTGTAGCTAATTGGTAGTTAACCTGATGAAAAAATTCAGTTATGTCATTTCTGACAAAATGACTAGAGGTCACATAAAAATCCATTCTACTGTTCAATACGAACAAATAGAAGCATCCAACAACTTTTATGAATAGTTGCTGTTCAGATTTCTTACTCCACCAAACTACATAATTACTCACACTCAAAGGTAGTAACATTATTTTTGTATCTGAACAGTAACTAATCAAAAAGGGAAAACATTACTGGAAACTTGCATACACTCAAGACTTATAATGGATTCACCAGATATGAGATTTCAATAAAATAAATATTTAGCTGAAGGTGGGGGAGACAAGACTGGCCCTGTGCAGGAATTTAAATCACTATTTTAATATCTCTATTCAGAAGCATCCATTTGCAGTGTTCAAGAAATATGACAAAAAATACGATTGCCACTCTCTCTTCTAGATATAATATAGCCTCAATATCACATCTTTAGCATCTTATGGAGACTACAATCAATTATTCTTCTGGACTGCATTAAAAATTAAAGCCATGAACAAGTCATTAGACAATCACATTAGTAAATTCTTACATAAAAAAACAAAAAACAAAAAACAAAAACACTTGACTGATCTACAAATCAGAATTGTGTGATCAATCCTGCTGACTGAAAATATTATGTGACAAATTATCATTTCTGCAGTTGACATAGAAATAGCAGGAAACAAAAGGCTGTTAATTACTACTGCCTACCCTCAATACCAAACTTTAGATACAAGTTAATACAAGACTGACACCAGTTATAATAGATATATATTTTTTTATTTTTCCTTTTTTTCCCCTCTATCCTTTTCTGAAGGTCCTAAATAAAATAGAACTATAAGAATAACAGTAATAGAAATAATGATGCGAATAATAATAATTAATAATAATAATAATAATAATAATAATAATAATAATGATGATAATAATAATAATAATGATAATAATAATAATAATAATGATAACAACATCAACTGCTAAAACATACTGTACTTGTGGTTGTTAACAAACAAGTACACCATACGCACTCTCACAAGCAAGCTCATACACACACCCAATTGTCCATCCATGCTTACAAAACCCTTTTCATAAAAAAAGAACATAAACAATAATAAATACTATAAATAATAATAATAATAATAATAATAATAATAATAATAATAAAAAATTAATGATGACAGTAGCAGCAATAAGTAAAAACTAGTCAACTGTTTCCACTGAGCAAATATTTCTGCCGTTTCTCACACGACCATCCAGAAATGAATGGTGGCAAACGTGGCCTAACCAATTCCACTGTGGCTATCATCAATGAACTTTTTCAAGGCATCACTTATCATCAGAGATCCAAAGTACAGCAATGAGAGCTTTCTCCTGTCATGTGCTCTAGTACTCACAGCCAGGTTGTTGACACTCGTTGCTCCTCTCATAGACGACTGTTGGGAGAGTGTGCCGAAGGGGCTCATCACAGTTGACACGGCTCGCTTTAACTTACTGGGGGATTTGTTAAAGCTGAAGGCACGGCTCACCTTCCTGCCAGTCCGCGTGGCAAATCTGAGGGAGTCGAGAGGAAATCAGTGAAAGTGGAGGATATGTAAGTATACATGTCACTAAACATCCTAGAAATATTTCACTCTAATAATAAAGGACAGCTAAAACTTTCACACACAAACACATATGGTAATTTTTCTTACCTGAGGGCTTTGCTGAGAGCATTGGTTAGACTGACATCACTGGTCTCTATGTCTAAATGGTGTGGATCCATTGAAACCAAGAAATTCTCCTGGAAAAAATTACATACATTTAAATTTAGTGTTATCTTCCTTAATAAAACTAGAAATTTATCAAAACTTTAAATATACCTTAAGGCCTATGTACTTATCATATTCTAATTACATTTTCATTAAAAAATGACTTATTCCACACAAGTTCTCCTTTCACTTTGCTTCTCATATCTATGAGGGGAAAAAAAAAAAAAAAAAAAAAAAAAAAAAAAAAAAAAAAAAAAAAAAAAAAACAGTGCCCATGAAACACATCTAAAACAGATGAACTAATAAACACAAGCTACTGCTTTTCAGAAAGGCTTAAATAACTTACCACATCATTCCTACACACAACATTGGCAACAGTTCGACAAAGGATCTTGAGGAAAGCAGCCTTTGTTGTGTCGTCAGGCATGAGCGCGAAGGTAAAAAGACGCTCCTTGAACTCCTGGTTGGCTCGAATGATTAGAGCAAAAACATTGTGGCATTCTGTTAGAAGACAAAAAGAGGAAGAAAAGGAGGAAGATTAAGAGGACAGTAAAGAAGAAAAAGAAAAAGAGAAAAGGCAATTAGTAAATAGCATTGGTAAGTGACAGCTATAACTAGGTCACAATCAGTCACACTCAAAAAAAGTTTAATTCAAATTTGTATCCCGATTTGTAAGAAATGTTGGGCTATATATATGTCAATACACTAAACAAATTATATAAGTGAAGAAGAAAAAAAAGTAAACATAAATAAATAATCTCATGATTTTTGCACATATCTAATTCTCAACTTAGCACTATGAATAAGAATTCCCACATAGGATCCATATATTTCAAAACTATCAAGGTATTTAAGAGAACAAAGTTACATAGTGGTTATTCTAAAGTGGATCTCAAAGGACAGCTATACAACTGTGACAAACTTCATTACAATTAAACCTTCCAAGTTCTATTTAAGCATTTTGACAACATCCTAATATGTTTTTTATGTCTAATTACCCATTAGTTAATTAATGGTCTCACTGCTGTTTGACAAAATGTTAAAAATGTTTCCAAAACTTAATCATACAAATAAAATACTCAGAACTCTCCCTTCACTAATATAAATAAACTAATATGTAACTATCTCAAAAAAATAAAAATAAAAATAAAGAAATAAAATAACTCTTCTACAGATACACCTCCAAACTTCACAGTTACAAAAGGTTCTGTCTTCCCACCTTCTGTCTCTCTGATATCCACAATTCTCTTGATATGGGCCAGGTTCATCATCTCCAGGTGCTTGTACGTCTTGATAGGCTTAATGGCATGGAGATTTGCTCTGCTCGGACTTTTGATGCTGTTGTACTTGCTTTTCTTCTTGCAGATCTGGTGGAAAAATACTGGTGTTGAGTATGGTAAATAAGGTAAGGAGGATAAAGAGGAATAGAGGAGGAGGAGGAAAAAAAAGAGGGAAGAGGAAAAAAGGATAAGACTGAGAATGAGAAAAAGAGTAAACTATAGTAAATCTCACTGTCATCATGTAAACCATGTAAACCACAAAGCCTTGGTAAACAGCTTAAAAATTAAAATGACATGGTATGACACTCACTTCCATAACATCATTAAAGAGGAAGAGGGTGAGGGTGTCACCTCGACCACTACACGTGTCACTCAACTCTGTGACATCCACCTTGCTCAAGTACAGTCTGTGAGATGCCACCAAGTTAGGCTGCAAAGAATTAATGCTCATTAGTAATATCAGACTACTTTTAAAGAATAATATAAATTGTTTAAATAATCAAATATGACTAAAAATTAGAGAAAAAAAATTAAGATAAGGACGAGATCAAAACCTAATCAGAACTAAACCAAAGAGCAATTGTCAATTATCAATAGGTATTATCATCATGAACAAAATGCTATAAAAAAAACACACATAAAATCTCTTTGAATAAAAAATGAATGAATAAATAAATAAATAAATAAATAAAATAAAAAGTAAATTCTATTCAGTACTCACAGGACACATTTCAATATCGTTGTGGATTTCGAAGAGTTTTAATTTGGCTTCTGTTTTTCTCTTGTCATCATTAATATATGTCATAACAGACTTGATTTGATCAAGAGCTTGTTCTAGAGATGCATGGTCTGGGGAAGCTTTTTCTGTATGTTTCAAGATGTCTGTTAAGAGAAGAAAAAGATGAACTTAGTAAGAACACGGTGTAAAATTGACATTGCATAATGTACTTGACATTTTCATAAAAATAAAGTAGCAAGTGCATTATCCTACTATTAGAACCTGGAAGTTCCGTAAAGAAGCACTTCCTATATAAAATAAAGTAAAAGTATCCCATCAGGCTTAACCCTTTCATACAGGGTTTTCTTCACACTATACCAAGCCATGCACTGTGATTCCTGCTCAGTCAGCTGCTGAGTGAAAAATCAGAGAGGTGGGAAAGCTCCTTTTACCCTACTGTGTGCATCATACATTTTTTGTTTTTTAATAGAAAATGAGGTTAAAGCAAGACTTTTAGCCTACTTTAGTGGGGCTGCATCTCCTTGATGACTAAACAAACAAGCAAACAACTGTTTAGAACACAAAACTTAAGAGCTAGCTCAACCACACACAGCACAGGTGCTTGTCACCTGGCATTTGGGCAAGTTTCAACATGTGATTACACACCACACGACATGAGGAGGAAAAATATTCAACATGAAAAATTTATTAAGGGCTTTTCTTGATGAAATATTACTTACACTTCTTATGCTATTTCCATATTACTATGAACATCACAAAAGAATTTCAATAACTCAAGATACAAACCATTAATAAGAAGGCTCATGGATGGTAATCTCTGCACCGGCCGAATCAGAAGTTCCTGGAAGCTCTGCCGGCCACACTCTGGTTTGTTCTGCGCAATCTTGAGGAAAGCATGAAATCTCGGTCGTTCGATGGAAATTCTCTGAAGCATTTCCTTCATGTTTTCAAAGTAGTTGATGAAAGGTGGATAAGCTGCTTGCAAGTCAGAAGACTGTAAAACAAATGATGGGAAAATCATGTATGTATGTATCTGTAATTTGATGAAAGCCTTTGATAAACATTATTCTGACATCTTGCATAACCATCTCTTTTTCAGAACTTTCCCTCCAAAAATAGCAATCTCTAAAAGCAGTCCAATATCTGTCACTTTACAGGGGTACTGCTGTTTAAAGTATCATTCCATGTATCAATACAGATGTGATATAAAGATCATCCACATAACTGCATAATTGAAAGAATGTTAAGAAATTTGAGATACTAAGAGATGTCTCTAAATATACAATTCCTAAACAAGCATTAACATTCAAACTTTCAGTCAGAACTAAAACTAAACTGTATTTTTTAAAAACTTATTCAAGTTGATATTTATTCTTCCTTTTTCATTCCTCTCAATTTTATGTAATTCATTTCAAGGTAAAATACAATCCCAATTATTGAAGATTGGAAAAAATGTATATGTTAACCTGTTGGATCCGGGTGCCCCACACCTCGCTTATGGACCAAACTCCATGCATTAGGCTTACTTGAGTTCCAACTAGCTTTTCGTCAGAACCATGCAAACACTCATGTGTGATATCACAACTCCTTGCCTCCTGTTGGTAATATTTGCTCTTTTTCCACAGGCATGTTTTTTTTTGTTTTGCCATTATCCAAAATTAATATATAAGCTGTATCATGATATTAATACACAATTTTTGTTAACCCCTTGGTGTCGGGTCATGCCGATTGGCGTGTAAACAAAGCGCTCGAAAGTTGGCGTGCAGCAAAACAAGGCGGCGGTGCGCCAAAGCGCGGCGAGCCAGTGATTCGGGTTGACGTCCTGTACTCGCGCGCTCAAAGTCGGCGTGCTGCCTTTGTTTGCTAGAGCGTAGAGTTTTTTTTTCCTTTTGTACACCCGGCACCATTGGGTTAAGTAAACTCCACACAATATCTCTAGGTAGACCATAATTCTGTGTAGTAACAATAAGTAACATTGTGTTAACATTTATATTTTCATATCCCAGCACCATCAATAACTATGGGCAAGAGCCATGCCATGACTGGGAAAGCCAATGCTTCCCCAGTCATGGCTCATGGATGGAACATTCAATCTGATTTGCCCCTTGGAAGTAATGCAAGAGTATCTTACTAAGGCCCACTGACTATAATCTCCCTCCAAGTTTATGCAATCCCACCATCTGCCACTCTGCAACAGGATCTCATGGCAAGACGTTCTTGTCACCCACCACACAGCAACAATACCTCATGCCTGTCACCCAGGCCCATCATCAATTTTTCTATACCCTTCAATCATTTTTTTTTCATGGTAAAACATGCTCGTCACCCGGCTCCAACAGGTTAATTATACAGGCAATAGTTCTATCATGCATAACAGATTTTTGTCTTGTGATGCTTTCATACTTACATATTTCAAAATGATATCTCCTATACTAGCATCATCTGACCAATTATGTGCCAACTGAAGAAGATCATTCCGCATGCGCTTGTGGACTTCATGGATTGGAGGTAAGTTGCCGAATATGAATTTTAATTCTTGTGCATCTAACATTGGTCCACCCGGTTGGACTATGTTTTCCAGAGGTGCTTTTATAACCTGTGGGTGGAAAAATTACATTATTATTATATTATGAATAAAGATATTCACATTAAGCAGTTCACTTTAGCATAAAACTACAATTTATTTCACGATATGGCATACCAAATTGAGATATGAATTTCAAAAACTGAAAAACTAAGCTATCACACATACAAATATGTATGTATATATGTATATGTAGTAATGGTAATCATTGTGACAAATGTAGAAAAGATATTAATGAGAATGAAAATCTTAAAATCATTTTCATTCATACCTTTTCTAACACAGGCACCCACACACACAAAAAGCATGTGTGTCAAAACTGGCATCCTAAAAGCTATCAAAATATATTTCATGTCAGAAACAGCCAACGCAAGAAATAATGAACCAAAAACTTGACTGCTAATCCAACAAATGCAACTGCAAGGATTATAGATTTGTACATTTAGTAGTGCAGTATTTGAAATATAAATATTCAAATCCTACATTAGCTACCTAATGGCAACTTTTCTTGGTATTCTGCAATACATCTACAGGTTATTCTTTTACTATTCTTTTTCTAAGACCTAAATGCAT